TTCTCTCTTCTCCAACGACGTCAGCAGCCACCGGCGCACGTCAAATTTCTCTCCTTTCAAAGTTTCCAGTTTCGAGCTAGTGTCCAAGCTTCCTCTTGCTTCAGCCAGAGTTCAGCTTGAGGGGGGATGTTAGACAATAATAATAGTATTACTTGTGGTAGTATTGGTTGTGGTAGTGTTTCATTATTAGTCAGCTTCCTAATCCTATTTGTGATAGATGTTGTATGTTAGTTAGTTTCTATTCTATATTCCTAGTTGTGTTAGGAGTCTCTTCTATATATATACTCTATCATGTACCCCATAATTCAAGGAGCAATATTATTATTCAAATATTTCAACAGTTAGTATTAACATTTTTTCGTTTACTGTTAGCTTTTTTAGAATTAGTTTGTTATATATTTTAGTGTAATTGGAAAAAATTATATATTTTTGGTGGTGCGAAATGCACGCTTCGTTGAATTTATTATAATAAAAGTGTCGTTTTAACGGGGTTCCAAGGGACAGCGCCTAGCAAGAAAATTTTCACAAAAAGGACAATGCCCGTTTCTTAAAATCCGCACGGGGGATGCGCGTTTTAGATGGGAGACGCGACCACAATTTTTTTTTCCCTTCCGCGGCTCTATAAATCCCGCTTATCTCTGCTCGAGAAGGCAGGTCGATATTCACATCAATGCATACATGTTCTTGTCACATTTGAGTTTTTTCGATTAATTTTTGAATTGAACAACCAAAATAATGAATTTGAAAGTGCTACACGACTTTGAAATTGATCCCCATTATCTTCGTTATTCCCAACCTAATCTCTATCGTTAACATTTTATTCAAAACGCTAATTTTAGTAAAAAGACGCTATTCCCAAGTTTAAGAAAAATACAAACATATAATTGAGATTTATGTATTCGATCCCCTTAAAGCTTAATGTTTTTGTTTCATTTTGTTAACAAAACGTGTATTCTATCCGTCCCAATTTAATACTCCCTCTGTCCCATAAAACATTTCCTATTTCAAAAAAGACGCGCCCTTAAAATGAGTAATTTTGGTGTTATTTTCTAATTTTGCCCTTACTTTATAAAAGAGTAGGATGAGATGTGTAGAATAGATTAGTTATAATTAGAAAATAACACCAAAATTACTCATTTTAAGGACGCGCCTTTTTTGAAACAGGAAATGTTTTATGGGACGGGAGGAGTAATTTACTTGTTTTATTATACACTTCAGTGTTTAAGGAAAGTCAAGTTATAACTGTGCGATTGCAAAATTAATATATCCTTCCGCACATTAACTATGTGAATTGTAACACATAAAATTGGTAACATACATGGAGTATTTCAATGTAACTCTTTCAACTAAATGCACTAAAACTCTTTCAACTTAACATCAAGTTCATATTCAGATGTATGATGTTTAGATGCTCTACATCATGCATGTGTAAATTTACAGTTTAGACAATATTATAATTTTGCACAATAAAACATTTTGTGGCAAGTGAAATAACACATTTATATTTTTGTTATTTTAAACTAAGTTGACTTTAATTAGTTCTGGATAAATTATTTTGGTAGGACTAAACCAATAGCGTTATACATAAATAGGACCTAATTAACCAAAGAACTAAAACATTACTGAAAACTACTCATCTGTCATAATTTAAGTAGTTTAATTTGTTTACTAACACAGGACCAACCTTTAACTATGTTCTTTGTCCATTATAGCTAGTCATTTGATAAAATGATAATATAATATACTTGTCACCTCATGTTTTGTAGACTTTTTCGATGTACTTTTTAATTATGTCAATTCTTATGTTTTAATCTCAATATTCAAATAAATTATGTTGAAATTAATTTCAGCCAAAAATTCACAAACATAAATAGGCAACTTAAATGAGGATGAAATTCACAATATTATTGTCTCGAATCAGTATACACTAAAAGACTGGTAAAACTGCTATTCACGAATGAAGTAGAAACTAGTATTACTATCTATTCGCAAAGTCAATATGCACTTAAAGCCAAAATTGCTATCTAGTCACAAAGGAAATATGCACTGAAAACCAATTTTAATGTCTTGTCTCGGAAACAATATATGGTTCAGCGATCATCAAGAAGTAAAACACACTTAAAAACATGAGATGCAACTAAATAAACCACATGTATCCTGTTTGTGTAAAAATTAGAAAATATGAGCTAGGACAAGATTGTTTATGATGTTAGAGTTCTTACGATTCCACAACACACATTACATTTTTGATATTTCAAATTTATCAAAAAAAATGTACATTTTTATTTGTAATTTAATCTTTCTTGTAAAAAAATAAATAAAAGATTGAGCCTTATCTTCAAAAGTTCTTCAGCCCCAATAAGACCATCAGTGAAAAAAGCTAAATTGGATTTTGATGTTTATTGTGGGCCTAGTAAAACTGGTTTGATAATTAAAAATGCAGCCCGTGTTGGTAAGTTTCCAGCTCGTTCGCGTAGTGGACTACCCTTTAAAAGTAGGCTTCCACGTCATCTGAACGGTCCAGCCTGGCAAACATCCGTTCCCGCCATAGTCCAGCTGTATTATCCACGTGGACGATGGACGCTGACATCCCTACTCCCCTCTCCCCCTATAAAATCGTACCGTGCACTCAATTCTTCAAACAGTCTCTCATCAATTCCACTTTTACGCTTCCATCTCCGTCCTCCATAATGTCTCTAAATTACGGTATTGCCATTCTCGCCGTCTTCCTCCTTTCCCTCGCCGGAATGCGTACGTCATCGGCGGTTCTGGTTGAGGAGCAGCCGCTCGTCCTCAAGTACCACAACGGGACCCTCCTAAAGGGCACTATCACCGTTAATTTAATCTGGTACGGGGAATTCTCTCCGGCGCAGCGGTCAATTGTCGCCGATTTCCTCCTGTCCCTTAATTCGAGGAAATCCAATTCCCCTTCCGCCGCGTCCTGGTGGAAGACCACCGAGAATTACAGCGGCGTTGGCGGATCCTCCACGGTTGTCGTCGGGAAACAGATCCTCGACGAGAAGTGCTCGCTCGGGAAGTCCCTGAAGAATTACCAGCTTTCCTACCTCGCCTCCAGGGGCGGGAATTCGGCCGGAGCTGTTAATCTGGTTCTGACGGCGAAGGACGTTGCCGTCGACGGTTTCTGTTCGAGCCGGTGCGGGACTCACGGGTCGACTCGGGGGAAATCTCGGGTCCCTTACGCGTGGGTGGGCAACTCGGAGACTCAGTGCCCGGGTCAATGCGCCTGGCCGTTCCACCAGCCGATTTACGGCCCGCAAACGCCAGCGCTTATCCCGCCCAACGGAGACGTCGGAGTGGACGGGATGATCATCACCGTCGCCACCGTTTTGGCCGGGGCCGTTACGAATCCGTTCAACAACGGGTATTTCCAGGGGCCGGCCACGGCGCCGCTGGAGGCGGTCTCCGCCTGCACGGGTATATTCGGGGCGGGCTCGTACCCGGGTTACCCGGGGGAGGTGCTCGTCGATAAAGTCACCGGCGCGAGCTTCAACGCGTACGGAGTGAACGGGCGGAAGTTCCTGGTTCCGGCGATGTGGGACCCCCTAATATCTGCCTGCAAGCCGCTCGTGTGACGTCGTTTTGACGGGAGTGTGGAATCTCCTGTGGGCGGGCGTACGTTTGTTTCCACGTTGGTTGGATGTGAACCGGGGGGGTTTTAGCAGGGCTTTTGGTTTATTATTACTACGTATTATTACTATTAAAATACTTGTATTTCACAATGCGTATATTTTATTTATGTAAATGTTTCTTATTTAAAAAAACAAAGAACGAATTATTTAAAATCGATCCAGTCTTCCACGGAACAATTCAAAGGGTTCTTGGTCAACGCACATCTATACAATTAACTCGAAGTTGACCTTAATTGATTCAGACTCATTTTTGAACAATCTAAACTTGACAAAGTAATTTGTAAATAATCCGGGTATTATGCATACATTTTGTATTTAGCCTAAGTTAATGTGACACTTAAGTCTATTTGCAATCGACACAATCTGCTTGAACATAATCTTAATAGATTCAAACTCAATTTTAAATTTTAAACCGATTGAATTAGATTTATGAAGTACTCATTACAATTAAACAATATGAACCCGACAAAACGTTTTGTGAATATCATGTGTAATTGAATTTGATTTTTGATAATACATGTACACAATGTTAATATTACATATAAAAATTGTTTGTTCTAAAATAATCGTCTCATTTATTATGATAGTCTTTTAATAATTTTGTTTTTTATGTGTTTTTTTAATTATTTTATAAAATAAAATATTTTTATTCTGTTTTGACAAAAAAGGGTTATGAAATATGTATTTTATATTATTTATTTTATACGAGTACCATTTTTTAAATAAAATTAGTTTTATAAAAAACCGGAGGAGTATTATGATTTTATGAAGAATATGATGGATTAGTCTTTTCTTCTCATGTAGTACCAAATCCGGCCCATATGTTTATGACGTTATGGCTTTTATGGCCCGTAATTGAATACGAGTACCCAAAACTAATTTCACAAAGTGCTTTGGTATCAAAAAAGAAAAACCACAAATTGCTTCTCGCCAATTTTTGCTATTAAAAAAATTGTTGGATTCATTTATTATCAAATTTTTATAAAAATATCTTAATTTGTGATCAAAGAGTGTCAGCGTTTGACCAAAAAAATCAAACAGTAAGAGTGTGTAGGACTGGAGTCTCGAGGGAGTATTTTTTGTTCGCTTTTTGTGTTTTTTTGTGCTACTTTGTATAATGTGTTTGACTTCTTCTTAATGATAGTCTGACTGATTTTGATGGACAATTCAGAGGCTCGTTCACTCTTTTTGGGAGTATTTTGTAACTTGTGCATAAATTGAGAGTCTATTAACAGGGTAAGATTTGCATACACACGTCGTTTCTCCTTGACTTTACTTATGTGAGATCTGACATATTACCAAAGTTTTTTTCCTTGCTCTTGTACCAAAATGCACTTTTGATAAATCTGATTATCACCCGTACGTCAAGAGAGCTCGATCTGTTTGTCTCTAATGGCACGAGGTCACCAAATTTTTTTAGGGTATTTTTGTCTAAACTGAACTAATTAATCTAATAGACATTAATTTAAACTTTCATATAACAAATCAAACAACTCCCAAATAATGAAATCAAAGAATAACTCCACTCCACCTTTTATCAGGTATTTCCCAAATACACGTGGAGAAAATTACAAGGATTAACAGAGATGAATCATTTGTACTGTAATTTTCAACCAGCACAGAAATCAAATTAACTGAATATACACACGGTAATTAATTAGAGATTCACACGGAAGAAGTATTGCTTATTACAGTATTTACTTTGTAGTAGCAGTTTGTAAGTGTGGGCAGTCCTTTGTGACATTGCCCACAAGTGGCCCAATCATATTCTCCAATTTTTCAATGTCGTCCTTCACGTCCTCAACCTGCCAATAATAATAATAATAATAATAATAATAATAATAATAATAATAATAATAATAATAATAATAATAATAATATAAGAAGAAGAAGAAAAAATAATAGAAGCAAAAGGTGGGGCTGGATCAAAGCAAAGAAGAAAGAAAGAAAAAAGGGGGGGGGGGAGGTGGGGCTGTATGGAAGCAAAAAAGAAGAAGAAGAAGAGGAGGGAGGGGAACTGGGGAAGACCGAAAGAAGAGAAGAAAGAGGATGAATTTGTGAGTGACGGAAAATTTGGTTTAACGGAGGGAGGGATGGAAAGTCCCTCCATAGTCAGTTTTCCAAAATTTTGGGGTACCTGTGAGTATGTTTTGAAAACTAAAGGTACCTAGTAGTTCTTATTCCAAAATATAGGGTACCCGCTAGTAATTTTCTCAGTATTATATTTAGAAACGAAAGAAATAGAGTGTATTATTAATTTTTAATTTATAAAAAGGGAATGGATATACATACTTGATGGATGAAGGTGGTGATGTAATGAGCATCCTGAGCAAGATGAGCAGAAGCGTGTTCTACCGCCTCAGCGGCTTCTTTCAATGGGGCATTCGCCGGAATCTTATCCGCCACCCCTCCCATCACATTCTCTACGGTGGTCGCCACCGTCTCCACCACCTCTGCTACTTCCTCCACCTCCTCTGCCACTCCTTCCACTTTTCCTAATAATCATAACAATATACGAGTATAATAATAATTCATGTGATTAAGTATATTGGATTCATTGAGGGACGACGGGTATAAATTAAATTACTGTCGTACACAGAATTGATAGAATTGAAATTGAATTGAGAGTTTAAATTATATAGAATTGATTGGGATGAAATTAAATTCACAAATTTCAATTCATTTTGGCATTACTAATTTCAAATCTACATATTTTTGTGTTACCGAACTATATAATTGAAATTCTTATCCTCAATTCTAATTGTATTTTTGAACTCTGTGTATCAAACGGAGCCTTAATGTAATTAAAAGAACTTGTAATTAAAAATAACCTTCTATCCTCCGGATGCTCTCTAACTCCCCTTTCAAAAATGGGAAAATTAATGATAACATAGACCCAATCATCCATTTTGCCCTGCAAATGAAATAATTAATCATAAAATTAAAAGCTGAAATATGAGACAATAACTGTCTTTACTTCCCAATAACATATATTGTCTGTGTGTATTTATGAGAAATATGGTGTCAAATGACGTAAAAAGACGTAACATTTGTGATAATAAACATACGTACCACATTAAAATATTGAACTTTGAAGAAGCTAAGGGGTCTCTTGCATCTTTCTTTCCATCTTCTTCTCTATTTTGCCTGCATATGACCAATTAACCAGACAAGAAATTAAAGAACACTTGAAATTAAAAAAATAAGAAGAAAATTATCAAACAAAAATTTAATTTTGGAGAAAAGAGTAATTAAAGTTAAGGGTACAAATTTACAAATGAGGGTTGGGATTATATGGATTCTCTTGGGTGTTGCTGCTACTGAACATCCTTAATCCGGGGTTCATCATGAGATAACAATAATTAGGAGTAGCGGTGCTGCAGCCGCCGTAGCCCAGGCAGTTTAGCGGCGAATTTGACGGAGGAGTCCGTCCACTGCCGCCGCCGACCCGGTAGTACTGACGGAGAAAGACGACCAAACTCCGGACGTTCATGAGGGAGGACTGGACCGGAGGAGTCAGGAGTGTTATATTATTTGTGAGATTATAAATTATGAAGAAGTGAAAGAAGAATTGATGAAGCTGCTAATATATATGCAAAGAGGTTAATTATAAAAATGATATTCCCTCTATCTAAAAGAGAAGGTTAAGTTTTATTTTTTGCGCATTCCATAAACATTTTTATCTCGTCTCAAATATTAAAAAACTTTTAAAAGAACTAGCGTCTACCCATAATGAAGGGCAAATGTGATCAATTTCAGACATTTTAGATGTGGATAGAACTGTTTTATGGGATGCGCAAAAAATGAAACGTAGACTTCTTTTTGGGACGGAGAGTATGACTTAAGCTGAAGTAAAAGAATTTTTTTTAAAATTTTTATTTATTTGTACATTTTCATTGATTATTTGATAAAATAAGATATCATTGTCATATTTTATTTAGTAAATCTTTTGACATAGTTCTTAAATATATAAATTTTTTTATTTTTCATATCAACCTTTAAATAAAAAAAAATTAAAAATACTTAAAATTTTACTACTTGGTTTTCACTAATGAAAAGGTGACAGGCGTCATGAGTGCATATATATGTTTCTTGCAAGTTAGTTATATCCCGCACTTTTAGGGTTCCTTAAACATTTTATTTTAAGTAACTTTGAATTGTTGCCTTCCCTTGCAAGACAGTTTATTAAGAAGTCACGCATCTACGCAAGTATTTGTAGGAAAAAAGAATAAATTTAATAAATGGTCCTTAATTAAAAGTGATTAACAATATTCACACCCAGTTTTTAGATATTCTGTAAATTGTCCTCATTTTTTCGAAAAGTAGAGGACGACTGTCGACGATGGACTCCCTCTGGTCATTCTATCGCTGAAGCACGAAGGTAGGGGAGAGGGTAGAACGGGGTCATAGAACGAAATTAGAATGGAGAGAGAAAACCGTAAATGTCCATCAATTGGTTTTTATTTCAAAATTGCCACTTTGAAATTGGATTGTTGGATCACATGGGAAATTGAAATTGCACGGTTAGATAGATCTTGAGAGGATTTAATTTTGATTTTGATTGTGTTTTTATATACTCCCTCCGTCCCGGAGTATTCATCCAGTTTCGACTTTTGAAACTGTTCATCTAACCACTTCGACTCATCAAATTCTCTCAATGTGTAAGCCTAAATATAGTCATGTGTGATCGTGTTTGATTTGTCTTAACATATAGATTATTAATATATAATTTCTATAATTTTTTAATATACAAATTATAAGATAAAATGGATTAAAAAAATGTATTGGATGGTGTGTAAAAATGAAAGTGGACAAATACTCTGGGACAGAGGTAGCATATAATACGAAGTAGATTTTATAACTTTTTTGGTCAATGTAGAGAGCGTTATAAAATTTGTATGGACACGTTTTGTGTAAGAATTTTACACTCCTTCCATCCAAAAACAATCTCCTTGTTGGTCAGTTTTCGCTATTCATTTGATATACTCCCTTCGTCCCCTAGTTTTTGTCCACTTTTGACTTTTGGAACGGTTCATCTAAG